GGAGATGATGGGGTTGGGGCTGCCCTTGGCCTGGTGCCAAGGACACCTCCACGCCGGACCCCCCTTCGTCCCCGTCCACACGGGAGACTATCTCTGTATCTTCCCAGAGCAGCGTTTCTGTCAGTCAGCCGTGCTGGGAGGTGGCTTTGGTGGTGGGATGTGTGTGCCCCCACAGTGGGGAGGTGTTTCTCGGCCTGCTGCACAGAGCGGCAAGTGGATGCCAGCTGCTGGCCCTTTCCCTCTCTTTCTCTTCTCCGGAGAAGCGGACGCCCCCTCCCCATCTTCCCCTTTCAGCCTCTGCTTACCCCAGCCATTGTTCTCGAAAATCAGCTGCTTCTTCTTATAGGCGATCACGGTGCCCTCTGGCAGAGTCAACATCTTCTCTCTCACTTTGAGACCCTCTCCCTGGCCTTGACCCTGGAGAGAGAAATCAGGCAATGTGGTCCCATGTACATGTGATCTTAAAACTCAAATAGATCTATTTTTGCACTGGTGGTGGGAATGCAAACTGGTACAGCCACTCTGGAAAACAGTATGGAGGTTCCTCAAAAAACTAAAAATAGAACTACCCTATGACCCAGCAATTGCACTACTAGACATTTATCCACCGGATATGGGTGTGCTGTTTCAAAGGGGCACATGCACCCCCATGTTTATACCAGCACTATCAACAGTAGCCAAAGTATGGAAAGAGCCCAAATGTCCATCGATGGATGAATGGATAAAGAAGATGTGGTATATAAATACCATGAAGTATTACTCAGCCATGAAAAAGAATGAAACCTTGCCATTTGCAACTACGTGGATGGAACTGGAACTAGAGGGTATTATGCTAAGTGCAATTAGTCAGAGAAAGACAAAAATCATATGACTTCACTCATATGAGGACTTTAAGAGACAAAACAGATGAACGTAAGGGAAGGGAAGCAAAACAAATATAAAAACGGAGGGGGACAAAACAGAGACTTTAAAAAAAAATTTTTTTTAACGTTTATTTATTTTTGAGACAGAGAGAGACAGAGCATTAACGGGGGAGGGTCAGAGAGAGGGAGACACAGAATCTGAAACAGGCTCCAGGCTCTGAGCTGTCAGCACAGAGCCCGACGCTGGGCCCGAACTCATGGACCGCGAGATCATGACCTGAGCCGAAGTTGGCCGCTTAACCGACTGAGCCACCCAGGCGCCCCCATGCTTTTCTTTTTGAGGCAGGTATCCTGATAATTCGCACTTATGATCTGTGGTATATGTTGACCCATTAAATTATGCCTCCTGTTTGGTCCTTTCACCTGGAAACACATTCCTCTGGTCTCCTCACCTTTGTTGTATTATTTTTTTGGATGATCTTCCTTCTTTTATTGTGTCTCTGTTAGTTCTGGAACTCCTCTTTTTCAGATGTTGTATGTTTGGACTAATACTCTAAACTTTAATATTAATATTCTCCTCTTTTTCTGCTTACTTTTTTTGGGGAAATGTCTTTGATTTTATTTTTTGGCTTTCCTATTTTAAAAAAAATTAGACTTCTGGTTTCTGTGCTGGCATACTGTAAAGCGCTTAGAAGTTGCCACTCTGTCTTACAATCAAGTGAAAAGCTGAACAAACTTTACTGAGTATATTAGTCTGTAGAAAAATAGAACCAATAAGCTTTCTGTCTATATATCTATATTTCTAAAGGGATTTATTGTAAGGGATCTGTTCATGCAATTATAAAGGTTGAAAAGTCCCAGGGGCACCTGGGTGGCTCAGTCAGCTAAGTGTCTGGCTTTGGCTCAGGTCATGATCTCATGGTTCGTGAGTTCGAGCCCCGTGTCAGGCTCTGTGCTGACAGTGCGGAGCCTGCTTGGGATTCTGTGTCTCCTCCCTCTGTCTCTCCCCCACTCACGCTCTGTCTCTCTCTCTGTCTCCCTGTCTGTCTCAAAAATAAATAAGCATAAAAAAATTTTTAAGGGGTTTCTGGGTGGCTCAGTCAGTTAAGTGTCAACTCGTGGCTTCAGCTTGGGTCATGGTCTGACAGTTTGTGTTTGAGCCCCACCCATGTCCGCCTCTGCACTGACTGTGGGGAGCCTGGGTGAGATTCTCTCTCTCCCTCTCTCTCTGCCCCTCCCCCACTCACACGTGTGCTCTCTCTCAAATCTCAAATAATAAAAACTTAAAAAAAATTCATAGAAAGAAAAATCCCAAGATGTACAGACCCAGGAGAACTAATGGTATAGTTCCAGTCTGAATTTAAAGGCCTTAGAAGCAGGAGTGCAAGTCAGAGTCTGATGGTAGAGCAGCGTCCCAGCTGAAAGATACTTAGGCGGAGAGTGAACTCAAGTCTTTCTCCACCTTTTGTTTCATTCAGAACTTCGGTGGACTGGATGAGGCCTGCCTGCATTGGGGAAGATAATCTGCTTTACCAGTCTACCCGTTCAAATCTCATCCAGAAACATACAGGCACACCTAGAATAACCTTGAACCAAAAACTGTGTACCTCATGGACCAGTCATGTTGGCAACATAAAATTAACCATCACACTGAGTAGTAATTACTGTATTCTGGAGACCTGATCGACTGTTCATATGTATTATCATGGACTTTTATGTAGGAGTTATATTTTAAGTAGTTTTTAAAAATTTATTAATTTTTAATGTTTATTTATCTTTGAGAGACCGAGACAGATCATGAATAGGGGAGGGGCAGAGAGGGAGGGAGACACAGAATCCGAAGCAGGCTCCAGGCTTTGAGCTGTCAGCAGAGAGCCTGATGTGGGGCTCGAACTCACGAACTGTGAGATCATGACCTGAGCCGAAGTCGGACACTCAACCGACTGAGCCACCCAGGTGCCCCATATTTTAAGTAGTTTTTTTTTTTTAAGTTTATTTATTTTGAGAGAGAGAGAGCAAGTGAGGGAGAGACAGAGAGGGAGAGAGAGAATCCCAAGCAGGCTCTGTGTTGTCAGTGTAGAGCCCAGCACAGGGCTTGATTCCACAAACCCTGAGATCATGACCTGAACCGAAATCAAGAGTCAGATGCTCAACTGACTGAGCCACCCAGGCACCCCTGTAGGTGTAGGTGTTATATTTTAATTTTATGGATGAGGGACCCTATGTCAGAAACATGAATAATGACCTCAGGCAGCCTAGTGAGTAAATGGCTTCTCCAGAATTCAGCCCTACTCTTTGATGAGAAGAATGTCCTGGTGAGTCCAATGTCAACTAAGAGAGTGCAGTGCAAAGCAATGGTGTGGGAAAACGCTGACACAGCTGGGAATCTACAAACCGTTTAACAACATCACAGCCCAGGAGCGATGCTTAGAACCGGCACCTGCTGTGAACACCTGGGGCATAGGCCAGACGCACAGCTGAGCATTCGCCCTCTGCAAAATGCCTCAGGGTGTTCTCCTGTTCTCCCAGAACCCCATCAGCACACCGAAACTGATGTGAAAACAGCCGGTCGTGGACATACCCTCCAAACTGGAGTAAAGTTTGGTTTCAAACTTCTTTGTCCACTGGGTGGCGCCTTGCTCTCCTCTAGGGTTAATACACAGATCTTGTGAAAGTTAGCTCACATCTCCATTTTGTCTTGTTTTGTTTTTTTGGTTCCTAAATCTCTTCAGTGAGGACATATTACATATAAAATATATTTTGTGTAAATGTCCATTATAACACACACACACACACACACACACTTTATATGTCCCTGAGTCACAGTTCATGTTGAGTAAATATTTGATGAACTGCTTTGTTTTAAACTTTTTTTTTTTTTAATTGTGATGATTGTAAGTTATGTACATCATATGTGCTTGGAGATATTTAATCTTAATACGGAACACTTTCTACTCAGGGTATCACAGTATTTAGGATGTTTGAACTGCTGAGGTTTTGTATTGTATCTGGCCCCTTGTTTCTTCCAGCCATAAAGCTGCACATGTATGTAGTATAGCAACCATACATATATATCTTTTAAGTTTATTTATTTATTTGGAGAGAGAGAGTGTAAGTGGGGGAGGAACAGAGAGAGAGGGAGGGAAAGAGAGAATCCCCAGCAGGTTCCACACTGGCAGTGCAGAGACCAACACAGGGCTTGAACTCACGAACTGTGAGATCATGACCAGAACTGAAACCAGACGCTCAGCCAACTGAGCCACCCAGGCGCCCCAACAATCATATTTTTAGAGTATCCAAAACCGATCGTTTAACCAAAGCAAAATATAATTGCAAATAATTAAATCTATTTCTATTTTATTGATATTGAATAACCTCATATATTAAAATACTAAAACGAGCATGTTAGAATATACTCTCGGGTCTGGAGTCAGGATTCCTTGGCACATGAGAAGTGGGAAATAATGACCCCATTCATCCCAACCCCCAGAGACAGGCCCTAATAAGATGCAGAGCCCCTGGGAAGTGGGGTGGGGCTGGCTGTGCTCTTGGTGTCCCCATCCCACTTCAGACAACCGTGTACCTTGACAGAAGTCATCCAAGGGATAAAGCATTTTCCCAAAACGTTCACACTGCTGCTGTCATGCAGCACAGTGCTGTTGATCAGTTCCACGGCCTCTGTCACCACATAGAGATTGTCATCTCTGCCCCGGCACTTCCTCAGAAACAGCAGCTCCTGATCCAACACTTTCCTGAGGTAGGTGGGAAGAGAAAGGTCACAGTGGGAAAGGGATGCCTTTTTTTTAAAATGCTTATTAATTTATATTGAGAGAGTGCATGCATGCAAGTGGGGGAGGGGCAGAGAGAGAATCCCAAGCAGGCTCCACGTTGTCAGTGCAGAGCCTGACGTGGGGCTTGATCCCACGACCGTGAGGTCATGATCTGAGCTGGAATCTAGTGTCAGATGCTTAACTGACAGAGCCACCCAGGCGCCCCCGGGAAAGGCAGGCCTTCTTGGCTCGTTGTGGATTACTCTTCTAAGACCCTGGATGGGGTACAGAGCATTTGGAATTTGATAGGTGAGTTCTCCATGGGTAGGAAGATACTGGCTTATAGGTTAGGTTGTTTAGGGCAACAGAACATCTTCTCTGATGTGCATGGTGGAGGGGTCCCCATTCTCTGACGGGTATGGTATGACAGTATGCATACCATATTATGAAGAGCCATTTACATTTTCCAAAATTATATTGGTCATGTTAGGGTAGTTTGTACATTTCCAGTACCAGGGGCTCTCAGCAGAAGAGGCTCAAAGTAGATGAGTCCAGGTGATGGAGACCAGTGCTTAGGAGGCCCTGTTGTCAAAGCTGGGTACACACAGCACACGTGCCCATGTGGAGCAGGCGGATAAAGTGTGATGAAGGAGGGCAGGTGCTGGGTGATTTTTCATGACTAGCGCAGATGGGCTTTATGGGTCGACCGTCCTTAGTAGGGGGCTTGGTAGAGCTTGACTTGAAGATGTAAGTTGGGGGAGATGTGGAAGGTCTGCAGTGCTGAGACTCAACTCTGTTCTGCTCCAGGCCCCACCCTGCTTGGTGCCCTGGTGACAGCCATGTGGAATACTGAGAGACCCTTAAATTTGCCTTTCAGGGCAGGAGGTCACTGACCATCCAGTGCCCTTGGAGAGAAATGCAGGCTTCTTAACATTTGGGCAAGGAGTGTGTCATCTGACTCTGCTTACCTCCCAACCTTCACTTTACATCACCTTCATCCTTGTTGACGAAGCTTACGCTTCCCTGGCCTCCCCCTCCTCTTGGAAACACCCAGCTCTGTCCTGTCCCAGGGCCTTTCAGCTCTAATTCAGACCCTTTTCCTCTTGCTTGCTTCTTTCATTCTTTAGGTTTGAGCTCAACTGTTAGCACCAGAGAGAAACCTAAACCGACCACCTTCAGCATCTCTTTGACCTCGTCCTGTTTCATATCTCCAGAGCTCCTGTCATGATCTGTAAGTGCCTTCGGAGCTGAATACATGACATGCCCACATCCCCTCTATTAGAAATAGCCAACTGCCTTTTTTTTTTTTTTTTTTTT